GGCCTGGGAAAGTGGCACGTGATGTCAGCTCAGGGCGCAACCCACGCGGAGATCACCCGGAAGCTCTCGGCTCCTGGCTTCGGCCCAGCTCCAGCTCCAGCTGTTGTTGGCATCTGGGGAGTGAACCAGAGGATGGAAGATCTGTCGCTCTTTAAGTAACGCTGCCTTTCAAATACGCAAGTAAAACAATGTGAAGTAACAAAAGCATATTCTCTAAGCACGCCCTCTTCTGCTCCAGCTTCTTGTTTAAAGAGGCCTCAGAAGGCAGCAGGGTGGCTCAAGTTAGTGGGGTTCCTGCTGCCCACATGCGGCCCCTGTCCCCGGGGACTGTGCCTGCCTCCCAGGTTTGTCCCCAGCTGCTGCAGGCATCCGGAAGATCAACTGGCCAATGGGAGCTCTCTGTCCCTCCAACAGACACACAAAAGATGAGCAGACCCAGCTATGGGCTGAACCACGTGGAGGCCCCTGGACCTCTGGGGATGCCTGGGGAGAACAGCACTCTCCTCCCACCTACGGCACCCCATGCCCACAGGGGCCCCTTCCTGCTGGTACCTCTGACAGCAGGGAACAGGAGAAATGCCCCACCATGTCGGCAGCCCACAAGGGGACCCTGACCCGATCCTACACGGGTGGCAGGATTTGGCAGCTCCCATACCTGGGCGCCTGCAGGCGACAGCAGATAAACAGGGCACAGAGGGCCTTTTGTTGAGGCACAAACAGCCGCAGGGAAACCTTCCCAGGCTGGGGGCGGGGGGGGCAGGCGCCCTCCCCATGCTTCAGGGGCAAAGCTGTTCCCACAGCACTGTCCAGGGAAAGGAGTTTGGTGGGGGGGGCAGCCCGCCACTCCCAGCAGGCCCCAGGCTTGTCTCCAGAGGGCTGCAGGCCGGCCCAGGGCCACCAGCTTCCTCTGGTCCCCAAGGCGGGACGGGAAGGAAAAGGTCTCACCCCTCATCTGGCACGCACAGCAGCCCCCCTCCCCCGGCGGGACACTGCCTGCCTGCCTGCGCCCACACCCAGCCGGGTGAGTCAGCGGCTGCGGGCTGGGGGTGCTGCCGACTGACCCCATACGAAAGGGCACACCCTCACTTCCTGAGGAGAGGCCCAGGGGAGACATGGGCCGTGGGGAAGCATGGGGTCAGCTCCTCTCTGCTTAGTGCTGGGACTGGGCTTCCCAGACAGGCTGGTCCTTGTGCAAACCTGTCAGGGTGGGGCCTGCCTTCCAGATGGGAGGGTGACAGCGAGGGACCCTGGCCACAGGATGGCCCCGGCTCACCCTGCCTGGCACCCACCATGCGCCAAGCATGTCCTGTGTCTTGGGTCCAACCTACACATGGACCAGTGAGGCGGCCCTGCTTCGCCAGGGTGGTCCTGGGCAGGTCACTTGGCCTGGCCAGGCTGTGGCTTCTGCTAGACAGCAGGCCAACGCACCCATTCCTCCTGGGGTCCAGCCCAAAGATCTAGGACCAGCCGGTCAGCCATGGTGAGAGCCTGAACACTTCACCAGCCCCTGGCCAGCAGGAGATCGAAGCCCAGGGGAGGGAGGCCACACAGCCAGAGGTGGCAGAAGACACACCCTGGGGCCCGGTGCCTCCAGGCAGGTCTCCGGTGCGCACAGGCGCCCAGGCGCTTGGAGAAGCCCGTTTCCTGAGGAGTGTATGCCCAGAAGGCCTCTGCAGGGGCCCTGGCAGGCCAGACCCTGGGGCTGATCTCCCCAGATGTGTCCCGAGGTCCAGGGGGCAGACAGGTCCCGACCTGCCAGGACTCCAGCACTGCCTTCCTAGAAGGTTCTGAGAGGTAGGCATGGGCACCCTGGATGGACTATAGGCATGCTGCACTAAGGGCCCCGGGCGGAGAGGGGGTATTGGGGCTGTCTGATTCCCAACCCCCACGATGGGCATGCTGTCATGCTGGCCGGGCAGCACGTGAAAACCGTGGAATTTTACAGCCCGTTTCTCCGGGAGTGTCATGTCAGGCGGCAGGCGGCAGCAATACCACAGAGGGCAATTTAATTCTGAGGTTTTAAAAGCCCTCAGGAGAGCGGGAGACGCTGGAGGGGTGTGAGCGCAGCAGAGAGGCGAGGGCAGTGCCTGTGGTTGGAGCGAAAGCCCTGCAGCCTGGCCGGGGGAGGTAACCGCGCACTCCCAACACACACACCTGTGCAAACGGCACGCAGTTACTCAGAGCACCATCTAACCCGGTCCCGGCCGGCAGCTCAGCCCTGCTCCCACCCCCAGGGCCATGGCTGGGGACTTGTTCACGAGAGCCAATGGTGACACAGGCTGCAGGAAGATATGGCTCTGACACTCCCACCAGTGTCAGAGGAGCATCTGTGAAGTGCAGGTTCCCAGGCCCAGCTCCCCAGCGCTGACTCTGCCACACCCCCATAGGCCTGAGAAGGAGCAACAAGGAGGCCATGGGGCAGGGAGGGTGCAGGCCATTGAGCATAGGGGGCTGGGTTGGAGGCTTGGGCTACAAACTGATCTCCATACACAAGGCCTGGCAAGAGTCAGACGGCACGAGTCAGGCACTCAGCCCCAAGAACAACCTGGGATGCCAAGACTGCTGGGAAGGAGGAAGAAGCTGGGCATCCAGCATGGAGGGGCTGAGACCTGGGGCTCCCTGCCAGGCAGTATCCCATGGGGCAGAAAGGGACCAAAGGGCAGGAGGAGGGCGAGGCAGGACAGTGAGCCTAGAAAACGCCTGGCGAGCTGTCAAGTTGTCAGCAACTTGGGGAGACCCCACAGCCAAACCTGACCCCATGCTCTCCCCACTGCCAGCCTGACCCTGAGGGTCCTGCCCAGCTCAGGGCAGAGCTGTCCCTTGTTGTCCCCCAACACCCTGCCCATCCTCTGGGCTCAGTCCTCAACAGAGCTTTGCAAAAAGACCAAGGCCAATGCCTCCTGCAGGCACAGCAAAGGGTAAACTGAGTCAGGACCAGAATTCTGCAAATCAGGCTGGACCCACGTGCTTCCTCCCAATCGTACTAAGTGGGGCCAGGTGGCCTCCGAGCCCTCAGTGCCCAGCTGCCCAGCAGGGGTGATCACACTTCTGGCCTCCCCCGGGGCCAGGTCGAAGTTCCTGGAGCCAATGGGAAACTCCTACAGGGCCACACGGGAGTCTGCTAACCCTATGCAATAAACAAGAGAGTCGACAAGATCGCAACAGGCCCTTCCTGTGCCCCCTGCTGCTGCAAACGCTCATTCCCACCCGGGCACACAGCCCTGAGCAGGAGGGGAGCTGGCACAGTCCAGCCTTCTGCTCACCGGGGACACAGGGACCCTGGACGGAACACAAGCAAGCTGCAGGCAGAGAGCTTGCACATCAGCCAGAGTGTGTAAAGTCAGCAGTCAGTCACACACACACACACACACACACACACACACACACACACACACACACACACACACGGCGGTGCTGCCCCCCACCCCACCCATTCTTAGTGACCACCACGGAGAACCGGCGGATTGTCCAACGGATGCTACGGCACGGAGACCACCAGCTGTGCCACGAAGGTCACAGCCTCCTTCAAACCTTGCCAGGGAGGCTAGTGCTCTCCTTCCTGGGCAGGGATGGTCGGCGGGCAGACCCGAAGACGCCAGGCCACAGCCACAGCAGCCCCCTGCAGCCCTTCTCTGGTCTCAGGCTCCGCTCCACCCTTCCCCAATGTCCCGCAGTGAACAACATCAGGGAGGTGGCAATGTGAAGGGCCACGCCAGGTGGGACTGTGGACCACATGCAGGGCCAGGTACTCGGCCAAGTGCCTCAATGACACCAGCGCATGTACGTATGTACTTGCTCATTTTTTAAAACGCTCTTATTTGAAAGGCAGAATTATTGAGTGAGAAAGAGAAAGATCAAGAGATCTTCCGGGCCCGGCACGGTGGCCTAGCAGTTAAAGTCCTCGCCTTGAACCCACCGGGATCCCACATAGGCGCTGGTTCTAATCCCGGCTGCTCCATTTCCCATCCATTTCCCTGCTTGTGACCTGGAAAAGCAGTCGAGGACGGCCCAAAGCCTTGGGACCCTGCACCCACATGGGAGACCCATAAGAAGTTCCTGGCTCTTGGCTTCGGATTGGCTCAGCTCCGGCCATTGCTGTCACTTGGGGAGTGAATCATCAGACAGATGATCTTCCTCTCTGTCTCTCCTCCTCTCTGTATATCTGACTTTGTAATACAAATAAATAAATCTTAAAAAAAAAAAAAAAGAGAGAGAGAGAGAAAGATCTTCCATCTGTTGGTTTACTCCCCAAACAGCCAGGGTAAGGCCAGTCTGAAGCTAGGAGCCTCTTCTGGGTCTCCCACATGGGTGCAGGGTCCCAAGCCTTTGGGCCGTCCTCTACTGCTTTCCCAGGCCACAGGCAGGGAGTGGCTGGGACTCACACTGATGCCAATATGGGACGTCAGCATTACAGGCAGTGGCTTTGCCCACTATACCACCACACTGGTCCCTACACTGTACAAGGGATGCAGTGCCAACCCTTTCGTCAAGATGAGAAAAACCAAGACTTGGAGAGATAGCAAGAATGGCCAGCACACGACAAGTCGGACTCGCACCTGGAACCAGCTGCTATGCCCAAGTCCTAACCAGCATACTGTCCGCCTCATGGGCTCCTCTGCCCAGTGATCCCAGCACGTGCGGATACATGCTAGCTCACCTCAAGAGACACCCCACGCTCAGCTTAAGGCATTCAGGCTTCGAGAAGGCCACTTCCCCAAACCGTCTATCCACTGAGGCCAGGGAGAGTGCCGTCCCACGGAACACGCTTTGGGAACTGGCCGCCTGACCCGCAGCCCTGGGCTGACAGGGCCTGGGGCGAGGAAGGCAAAGCAGGCTCATGAGGAAGCAGTGTGAGCACCCAGGGAGCGGCAACCAGGCACAGAGCAGCCGGCCCTGTCTCCCACCACCCCCAGCCCCACAGGGAGAAGAACAGGGCCTGCAGGGGAGGACGCCTGGGGGTGCCAGATGCTGCAGCTGGCAGGGTGAGGTGCGGTGCTTACCCTGCGGCCGGCTGTGCTATCTGCGGGTCGGTTGTCGCGGCTGAGGCTGGCCCACGTCTGTCTGGGCTGGGTCCTGGCATTCCTGTTGCTCCATGGACACTGCCTGCCTGTGAGAAAGCGAGAGAGCCCATCAGCGAGCCTGTGTGTAACCGTCAGGGTTGCCTGCTGTGCTGCCAATGGTCGGTCCCTGAGGCGACCAGAGAGCCTCAGTCTGCTGAGGGGGTGCCCAGTTGGCAATAGCAGTGTGGGGGATATCCAGTGCTCTGTTGGGGGTCCAGGGAGGACTTCCTGGAGGAAGAGGTGCCTGTGTCCCCAACTGGGCATCCCGGCAGGGGAAACGGCACCTGTCTGGCCGAGACAGCAGGCAGCACCTAGGGAAGATCTCATGACTCAGTGACTGGACCGAGAGGAGTTTCCGGGGGCAGCAGGTGGGCCGGTCACGCTCCCTGCCTGTCTGCTCACAGATGTGCGGCTTCAGGTCAGGAGGCCATGCTGGGATGGGACACCAGGCTGAACAAGACGGCCAGCAGGTGCAGGGGGCTAGGGGGCAGGGGCGGGGCAGACGTTGGGGACAGCTAGGTAATGGGTGGAAGAATGCCACGGCCAGACTGCAGGGCAGGCCACAGACTCTGAGCCATTCTGGGAGCTAAGGGTGGTTTCCACCCTGCCAGAAGGGGAGACACCCCAAGTGTCCAGTAACTCCACACGGGTGATGGGAGCCAGAGCGGTGACGGCCTGGGGTCCTTGGAGCCAGCCCTAACCTGGCCCAGCCCACTCCACCCTGCTCTGCCCACTACCCTCAACCAGGCTGGACCTCTGACCACCCCTGGCCTCTGGCTGCCTCTAGTAGTTCTACCGTGCTGTGCCCACTACCCCAACCCCCATGGCAGCCCAAAGCGGGCCAGGGCCCACGTCTGCCCAGCACCACTGCTGCCCATCTCCCACCCTGACGACTGCAGGAATGAATGAATGAAGGAGCCAGGGATGGAGAAGCCATGTGCTGGGTGGCATCTGTGCCATCAGAATGCCCAGACTGCCTGCACCCATCAGCCAGGGCCTCAGTGCTCCCTCAGGCCAGCTCCCAGTCAGGTCTGGTAGTAAAGCAAGGCCTGGCCACCGCCCTCAATTGGGACCATTCAGGAGCCCCCACTTCCCAAAAAGGCCAAAGTTTGCCAAGAGAACTTGTTTCCTGGTGGGTGTGAACAGACTCACGTGATTAAGTCTGGGGTCAGTGCACAGAGACGGGGGCGTCAGGAACATTTCAAGAACCCCTGTGCTGTGGCCCCAGTCCCAGAGGGTGGACCAGCTCACTGGATCCCTGGGGAGGGGGCTCCTCCTCCCAGCCTGGAGGGGGGAGGCCAGGGCCAATGGCTTGGCCAGAACACCTGACCTTCACTGAGGCAATGGCGGAGAGACGGGGCCACTGCCACTCCCACTCCCCTCCGCTGGCCACAGGAAGCACGGGCAGCAGCTGCCCTCCTCCCCCGTCACCGTGCCTGGTCGGGCTGGCAGCCACCCCACCCTTCCAGCCAGGCCCCACAACCCCCGGCCCATCGCTCCTGCCCAAAAAAGGCAACCACTGCATCAGCCAACAACCAGACCATCTCAGACCAGGCTGGTCTGATCGAGCAAGGCGGGAGTGGGAGCAAGAGGCACGGAGACCCCAACACCACCACCAGCAGGAGGGGAGACCCCCCGGCCCACGGGAGCCAAGCGGGCTAGCCCCCCGAGAGCCGGCCGTGGGGCCCATCTGGACGCCAGGATCCCCGAAACCCCAGCCCAGACAGGCCCCTTCCTCGAAAACTACGTCAGGGCCCCCTGTCCACGCGGGATGCAGAGGAGGCAGGGGTCCCGGGGAGGACGGGAGGCCGGACACTCAGCAGGCAGAACAGCTGAGGGATCTTAGGACCCGAGGTGGAACCTCTAGCAAAGGGGGGCGTGCGTGTGGAGGGGTGAGGATCCGGGGGGCACCCAGGCGGAGGGGGGCGCTGGCACTGGGGAGTCGGGGCGGAAACACCCGGGCTGCGGGCGCCGGGGTGCCTGGCGGGGGGCTCGCGCGCCGCGACACCGGGCAGACCGGGGGATCCAGGGCGCGCAGGCCGCGGGGAACGGCCGGCCCGAGGCAGCCGGCGGCGAGGACGCCCCGCTTCCCGCCGGCCTGGGGGCGCCGGCCCCGGCGGGCACAGCCCCAGCAGCCCCAGGGGCGCCTGCGGCCGGGCGCGCGTCCACGGCGGGTTCCCAGCGGTGACAGCTCGCGCCCGCTTCCCCGCCCGGTCCTGACTCACCTGGGCTTGCCGCAGCGCGCCGCCCAGCAGGCCGCCCGAGCCCTGGCCGCTCCGTCCCGCCGGCCTCCGCCGCGCTCCCCCGGCACCTCCTTTTGTTTGTCCCTCACTGCACCACTCAGCATCCTCCGCCCCGGAAGTGACGTCAGCGCCAGGCGCGACCGCGGCGGCCAGGGCAGCACCATCTTTGTGAGGGGAAACTCTGTTCGTTCTACCCGGTTCGGTGTCCGGCCGTGACGCCGCCCTGTTGCTTCGGGGCGGAAGTAGTGGAGCCTGGGGTCGGCCCTCTTAAAGGGACAGGGACGGCCGTAACCTTCGGAGCATGCTTGGGGACGGCAGGTGAAGGCTGCGGTGGTGACTAGGGTGAGTGACCGGTACGGGAGCGTGGCTCTGTCCTGAGGCGGGGTGCAGAGAGCTGGGCGGGCTTGACTGTGCCGGAGTGCTGGGTGCCTCTGATGCTGTTGGTGGACGCGGAGAGATTGGGGTGCCGCGGGGAGGCATTGCTCGCGCTGCCCTGCGCCACGCAGCCCCCATCCCTGGCCGGTTCGTCCTGCACCCGCGTCCCCTTCCCACGATCGCACCGACGGGAGGAGCCCAAGGGGCGGCGAGTTGGGATGCGGGTGGTGTGGGCGCCCGCGGGTGTCAGCCCGGGGGAGCCGGGTCCTGGGGAATGAGCATCGCTGGTGGAAGCCAGTCCTGCCTGTGCCCTAGCTCGGCCCACTCCCCACGGAGAGCACCGCAAAGCTTTTATTTGGGTCACCCCGCTTGGGGCATGGCGCGTGTGACAGGTGGCTGCACGCACCGAGCAGACCTGGGGTTGGGTGGGAACCAGTCAGGGTGGGCGGTGGAAAGCAGTGGGCTCGCAGGGCAGAGGCCAGGATGGCCTGGGGACCGGACTGGCTGCCGCCTGGCAGGCTCCCCCATACATCCACCTGCAAAGCAGGCAGCCCCCTTCCCCCCAGCCCCATTTTACAGGTGGAAAAACGAGGCCGGCAGAAGTGTGGGGGGGTAGTAACCCCAAGGCAGGAGCAGGATGAAGGGGTGGTCCTCACCTAGGCCTCCCTCACTCTCCTGCTCCTGGGGGAGTGGGGGAGGGGAGAGGGTCCTTCAGCCACACGCTTTGTGGCCCTACTGTGCTGGGCTGAGGACCTGGTGGAGGGACAGGGTGTATTCTGTCCAGCAGAACACAACACCCAGCGGTTGGCACCTTGGCGGGGGAGACGGTTTTAGGACTCAGCCTGGACGGGGCCAGTGAATGCTTCCTCAAGGAAGTAACTTTATCTGTGTGTATTAGAGTGTTTTTATCTGAAAGGCAGAGACAGGCACGCAGAGGTCTTTATCTGCTGCTTCTGTCCCCCGTGTGTCCGCTGTGGCTGGGCCAGGCTGTAGCTAGCAGCCTGTAACGCCATCTCGACCTCCCACACGGGTGACAGGGACCTGAGCCCTCGGACTTTCACCTGCGGCCTCCCAGGGTGTGTGTGGAAGGCGCCTTGTAGGTAGAGGCTGTGCCTCACCAGCTGCACAGGGGCTGAGGGTCACTCCCAGCCCAGCCTCACCAGCCGCCCAGGGGCTGAGGGTCACTCCCAGCTCAGGCTCCCTGCCCCTCACCCCAGCATGCCTCCCTCTGTTGCAGTAGAGCCAGGGGTGGGGAGGGGAGCACCCAGCAGCTAGGACCCTCCTCAGCCTGAAGCCCCTCTCCAAACGCATTCTGTTCCCTGTGCAGCAGTGCCTGCCCATGCATATGGCAGGCCGGTTCAGGCCTGGCATGGCCCGTGCTAGATTAAGCCTATACCTGCAGCACCGGCATCCTGTATGGAAGGTGGTTCAAGTCCCGGCTGCTCCACTTCCCACCCAGCTCCCTGCTAACAGCCTGGGAAAGCAATGAAGACTGGCCCAAGTTCTTGGGCTACTGCACCTGTTGTGCCGGATTTTGAAATTCCCAGAAAATCATCAAGTCTGAAGTTGGTGCTAAGGCATAAAGGTGGTTTATTCAGGTTAGCCTAGGTCTCCCAGCCACCTCCCCCAGCCCAGCAGGGCTGGATCGGAGAGGGGCAGCCACAGCCTACACTGCTGCAGGATCCGCAGGAAGGGCAAAAAAGAAGAGAGAGCGAGAGCCCCCGGTTGAACAGCCCAGCGTTCTTATACATTTCAGGCTATTAATTATACAGTCATGATTTGACAGGCTTCTGTTGGTGGGCTTGAAGCAAGCAACTTTCAAAAGGTACAAATTGATGAGCTGTAGGGCTGTGGATCTTATCAAACACCAGGGGCCTCCTTCCTGAGGAGTGGTCTGCCTACGTGACCTGCCAGGTGTCCTGCCGGGTGTCACATAGACTGTCAGGCCTGGAGTTCACACAGTCCCAGCCAAGCCTTTAAGGCCGAATCACAAAAGCAGAAAACACCTAGGTTCTTCACACCCACATGGGAGACCTGGTAGATCATGGCTTCATATGAGCCATTTTGCTTAAACTCTTTAAAGATGTATCCATTTTTATTGGAAAGTCAGATTTACAGAGAAAGGAAAGAGAGACAGATCTTCCATCTGCTGGTTCACACCCCAATATGGGGCCCAAAAATAAATCTTTAAAAAGGGAAAGGAATTCAGGCCCTTCACAGTAGCCTAGTGGCTAATGTCCTCACATCACACACACCGGGATCCCATATAGGCACCGGTTCTAATCCCGGCAGCTCCACTTCCCATGTAGCTCCTGGCTTATGGCCTGGGAAAGTAGTCGAGGACAGTCCAAAGCCGGCACCCGCATGGGAGACCCAGCAGCAGCTCCTGGCTTCGGATCAGCTCAGCTCTGGACGTTGTGGCCACTTGGGGTGTGAACCAGTGGATGGAAGATCTTCCTCTCTGTCTCTCCTCCTCTCTGTATATCTGCCTTTCCAGTAACAATAAATACATGTTTAAAAAGAGAGCAAGAGAAAGGAAGTGCCCCTCTCAGGAGAGGGCACCCCTCTTTCCGGTTGTCCGCTTCCTTCTCAGGTTGCCTTGGTGGCCGACCATGGCTGTGACCCCGCCATTGCAGCCTGCAGGCCACACTGGCCCGTGGCCGTAGCGCGCATACAAGGGGTCCCTGTGGCTCTTGAGTCCGTGGCTCCTGTGCCTCGCTTCCCAGTGCCGACAGGGGAACTTTGGGCAGGCTTGGGCCTTCCTGGCCTTCCAGGGATGCTGGGGAAGTCTCCCTCTTGTCCTGAGCCACAAGCTCTCCACCTGTCGCACACTGACCCTAACCCTAACCCAAACTGCCCTGGGAGCGGAGCCAGTGGGAAGGGAGAAAGGGTGGCAAGGCCTCTCTCGGCGCTGCCCCTTCCGCAGCCCTGCAGTGCCATCTGTCCATTTCTAAGCTGGGAGCAGCTTCTGAGCTGGGGTACCCTGGCGTCTCCCCCGGGGGTGGCTGACTCAGGTTTGCCTGGTAGGACTGTGCCCAGCCAGCTTGCTTCAGGGGCAGCGGGGGGGGGGGGGGGCAAACAAAGCAGGATTTATTATTGGATAAGGGACGTTTGTGTCTTGCTGGCCTGTGTTCATTGTCACCGTGAGCAGTTTCCTGTCACCAAAAGGGCCCTGTGACCCCCAGACCCACAGCATGCCTTCCACACACTGTGTTTGGTTTGTTTAATATTTATTTATTTGGGCCAGGCACGGTGGCCTAGTGGCTAAAGTGCTCGTCTTGAGCATACCAGGATCCTAAATGGGCGCCGGTTCTAATCCCAGCAGCCCCACTTGGGACACAGGAGGACTTGGGGGGTTATGAATTGCAGCAGGGGCACCCTTTGCTGGGGGAGCTGTGATTTCTGTGCTTGAGCTAAGCAGGGGCACCAGTGCCTGCAAGGAGGCTGTGGTGAGGGCCAGGGAGTTTAGCCCCCTAGGGGCCCGGTGTGCCAGGCAGGTGCGCTGTGGTTCACCCAAGGGCCTGGGAGGATGCAGACTGAGGCAGGACCGGGAGATCACTGGGGCATAGGCAGGGACACAGCCCTAGCCCAACTGGGCAGGCAAAGGGTTTGTGCGTCTCAGAGGAGAGGGGACCCGGAGCCGGTACCGTCTGGGTTCAGGCCAACTCCAAAGGCCAGGCCAGGGTGGCTTTGGACTTCATCCAGTGTCAACACAGGCCATTCTGCTGAGCCAGCCTGCCACGGGCTGGGCACGGCTGGTCTCAGCCCCTGCGGGACTGTTGATCAGGCACCCTGGGACTGTCTACCCGCTCTGGCCAGGCAGGTGACGGGTGGCTGCCCAGGCTGTGTTTGGGGAGGCCCCCGGCCCCCGGCTCGGTGGTGTGGTGACCTAAGCTCTCCCGCACCTGGCTGGCCAGGGTGGAAGGGCATGTGAAGCCGTGCGGTGCTGCTCCCCAAGGCACCTGCCCAAGGACTTGCTTTTACGTAACAGTAATGCCATGTGTTGAACACGAGCCCAGGTCTGTCTGGCCAGGTGGCACACCGCGTCCTCTCCTCATGTTATCCATTTCTGGCTCCAGCCCTGGGAGGTCAGGCTTAATCGTTTGCCAGAAGTCACGTGGCTCGCAAGTGGCTCCAGTCCTGTGTCTGACTCCAGAGACTCTCGGCCTCATTGACTCATTTAAGTGCAAGAACCTGACCCCTCCCCCGCAAAGCCCAGTGAGTAGTCAGGTGTTGTTCTTGTATCAGCATCGAGCATGTATTTGACTCAGTTCCCTGTGAAATGGGTTTTCAGGACTGTGGTTACATCCTGGTTCTGAGCCCAGCAGCGGTGTTACCCTAGCCATGACCGGCAGCATGCCGGACAAGCCTTGCAGGTGGCAGTGGAGACGACAGGTGTGTGTCATGTTTGAGGACCAGGCGAGTCCACAAGACCATCCTGCCTCCCTGGCATCCTGCAATAAAGGCATGTGGCATTTCACAAACTAGACCATCAGCAGAGTAACAGCAGTGCGAGCTGGCGGCAGCCATGGGATGCAGGTGCCATGGCTAGCCGGCCACTGTCTCCAGCAAGTCCATAGCCAGGGGAACTGAGCAAGGATAAACTCCCCACCCTGAGTGAGAAAGGTGGGGCTGAAGGCAGGAATGAAAATGTCTCAGAGGAGGCTACCTGGCCA